GGAGCTCTGGTCCTTACTTTGAGTGTCGTTTCCTGGCTCCAGTACAGATCCGTCAGTCTGCTGGCACAGATCCCTCTCCCGACTGATGCAGATTTTCTAGTTTCCACCACTGACCTTTGGGTCTTCCCAGTTCAGATCCTTCGCATGAGACTGTTGTGGGCTCTAGACCTCCAGCTGGACTCATGGAGGACATTGCCATGGGCTATAGGTTTTCAGCTGGAATTGTGCAGGATATTGCCATAGGATCCAGGTCTTCAGCTGGATTCTTTGGGTCTCTAGCATGCAGACAGGTCTCTTGCACTGCTCTGCATTTTTTTACTTTTTTGAGTGAATATTATAAAATAATCCTATAAGTTATGTGTCCTATATTAAATCTATTCTCTTACAAACCCTGACTACAACACTATCGCTGTAGCGTATCCAGTGCCATGTTTTTCATGTGAGTCCCTTGACAGAATGTCTCATAAACTTAGGAGCCATCATTTCAAGAATGGCCAGTCTCCCACCAGAGAATTTCCACCAGTATCCTTTAATGTAATTTCCAGATTTCCTGGCAAAGTGTATGTTCTTATTTGGAGAGTAATTTGGAGTCTCCAAGACAGGAAGCTCTCTGATAAGGGGTACAGCTAGGTACTCCCTTCGTTCGCCTGTCATAGCAGCCTGGTTTGGCTTTTTTGTTGTTGTTGTTTCCCTTGTCATTTCCCTTGGCTTCTAATGTTTTCTGGTGTCCCATACAGTGTATAATGGCCACTTTTCGTGGGGTCCATATAGCATCAGGAGCTGTAAAATATCTTTAGTTTACATTTTTTCCTCAGCTATTATGTGCCCTCTTTTTTATATTTGGAGTCAGTATAAATGTTAACATTGTTGTCCTTTTGCCAGAAAAAGAGCCCTTGTCAAGGCTGTTAGTTCTGCCTTGTAGGCTGAAGTTCTGATAGGCAGAGACTGGGCAGCTACTGCAGTCTAGAGTCACCATTGTATATCCTGCCCATTGGACCCCTTCCAACACCTGTCTGTGAAATATTGAACATCTGGGTCTCCAAGAGGGTGATCTGTGTCTCTAGAGTTATGTGAGGATTCTCACATAAGAGGCCCTGATACTGAGTCATCCTCAGATTTGGCCGCCAACTGTGTCATTTCTGGTCCATTAAGGTTATGACTGAGTGTGGACCTCAAATGGTGAGTTGTTGTCCCGAGATCAGCTTGTCAGCTTTCTGTGTCTGGCTCTCTTCAGTATTAAGTATCATCAGGAGAAGCTGTTTATAGTCTGCCCAAGTTGTGTTCTGCATTTGAAAGATGGGTTCCATTAGATCGCTGAGTACCTGCAGCTTCTCCACGTAGAATGAGAGATGATGTTTTCAGTTGAGGAAGTTAGTTGTTCAAAAAGACTGATAAACCAAGGCCCATTGTCTCTCTTGAATTTGATCCTGCACATCATTATAAATAGGTGCCCTGGGCTCTTAGAGGGGCTTCCATAAGATCTTCTATAGCTCAATCAAAGATGGCTGATTTGACTTGTTGCCTGATTGGTAGGGCTTTTAAAATTTTCTCTCCTGGGTGGGGGTCCTACTTTCTTTTCTGGGAGGGGATGCCAGTAACTCACCATTGGCTGACTCTGATTCTCCATGAGTGGGCCTTGGTAGAGGCAGATATATTGGAGTGTAAGTGGGTATCTCCATCTCTTCTGGTGGTTGCTGTAGGATCAGTCTTTCTTTGATCTCCTGTTGTTTCATCTTAATCCCTATAGCTACAGGGGGAGTGGACACCCCTGTCTCCAAGTGGAGCACAGCTTTAGCCACAAAGGATTTGCAGTATGCTACCAGACTGGGTTGGAGCCATGCAGTCCACATTTGAACCATATTCAGCCACAAATCAATGTAGGGAACCTGATCTGGATGTCTTAGCTGCTGTCCTCCATCTCCAGTCACTGCTAGATATGCCCTTCCAATCATTTCCTTATGAACTGTCTCCTCAGCAGGCCACCCCACATTAAAAGATGGCCAGTCAATCTCATAGAGTTTTCAACTTCTATGGGGCTAACTTTACCCCATATTCTCCAGTACTGATACAGCAAATGAGTTAATCGAGAGCAACACAAGAGACCAAAAGAGCAGGAACGAACAAAGCTTTTTTGAGACAGCTCCTCTAACCAGGAGCCAGAGAAGATGTCCACCCCAATCTGGGTCTCACCTTCAGTTTAAGTACACTTATGTTTCCGTAGTAAACATTACCTCATTTGGGGGAAACTTACAAGAATGTCACACAATTAGCAAAGCTGTCAGACAACCAGATTCCAGATGATCATTGCAGTTTAACTTTTAGCCTACTTCCCAATTTTTCCTGTTTGTTCTGTTCCCATTTTATGACTAAGTGGGTCGATAACTAACCAAGGGGAATGGGGTAAAGAGCAGGGTCAACTACAGCTTAAGTGAACTTAAGTGACTTCTCTTAATATGGAATAAAAAAGAAAAATGGAGTCTCTCATGCCCTATCAGTATAACCTTTCTTAAAGTTTTTCAGCATAAATTTTAAAGGAGTGCATTTCAATGCTTCCCTGGTACTTCTCCGTTGTGATGCAAATCACATTTTAAAGCATTTTTCTCTTAGGCTGTTTTGATCATTTTTTATCAAAAGTATATTTCTTATACTTCAGCCTTTTAAATATTTTTTCTCACTTATTATAAACCCATTATAACAAAATTGGCTGTAGCCACTTTGAGTTTAAAGTGTCCCTTTTTTTCTTGTGGTGGAAGTTGCATCTAACCTAATCCAAATAAGATTATTAGGCACACTGCAGGAAGTAATCAGTCTCCCTTTCTGTCTATACAGGAAGGATTTTCCCCCTCGGGTCCCCAAAACATCACAGTCATATAGAATATTGTTGTACAAGAATCTCCCTGAATCCTCCCATGTTCCATTCATTCAGCATGGAGACAAGGGAGCGATCTCCAGGCTGTGGGAGGGCCGATTTCCTCTCCAAGTTACAGTATCCCTGGGTGGCACCAGATGTCTCAGGATTCCTCCAGCTCAGGTGCTCGTGGGCCTGTAGGCAAAGGAAAAAGCAAATCTATCACCTACAGTCCCTTCGTGGCTGCCTGAAATGTTCAGAAATTTAAGAGACAGGAGAAACCAAATGGGAAACATGAGGATTTTATTCTAATTTTAGGTTTATACCAGCTCATCTGGTAAATCTATTTGTAATTTGTGTCAAGGGAGACCTCCTGCTTCAAGGAGATGGTCTTTGGCATGGAAGTTGTGGGCAGGCAGAAGGAGAACAAAGGAAGTTTGACAAGCTCTGACAGTTTTGTATCTTGGTGGCCTTGCTTGGACAAAACAGGATGTTATGGGAAGGAGAAGTTATAAGATTTTATGTATAGAGACAAAAGTTACTGCTTTATTTTGCTACATTCATACCCATGTTTATAGCAGAACAATTCACAAGAGCTACAGAGTGGGAAAAGCCTACATGCTCAGCAACAGAAATATGGATAAATAAACCTGATATTTATGCAAACTGGAGTGTTATTCAGTCACACAGAAGATGGAAACCATGTCACTGGCAGGAAAAAGAATGAACTGGAGAATAAGTATAAGTGTATAAGTCAGACACAGGAAGTTAAATATTGCATGGTTTCTCTCGGAGGGAAATCCTAATGTGATAGATAAAAGAATAAAGGAAAGGAAAGATAGAAGGGAGGGAAAGGCAGAGAATTGAGGGGAAGGAGGGAAATCAAGGGGATGGAGAGGTGGGAGGGTAGTGATGGGGAGGAGAGGAATTGAAAAATGTAGAGATATAGATATTTACCGATTCCTTAAAAAACATAACTGCTATGTACTGTGGATACTTAGAAATCATAGAAAAAAGGACACAGAAAGACCAAATACTGACGACCACAAGCAGTAGACCCCACCCCAGTGAGGCTCAGAGTACAGGTCTGGTGTCCAGCACTGTAACTACAGCCCCAGGAAATACATGTTAATTTAAAAAGTTGAAAGAAAGTGCCTGGATCTCTTTGCACTATTTCAAAGGCTTCACATGAGCTGTCGAGGACTTAGTGGGTGATGAAAGGATAACTTGTACATCTATCTGGCAGTGTGATTGGCATCATAGCCCTGCATCGCTGTCTTTTGAAAGTAAAACGGGAACAAGGCTAGGAGCCCACAATCACAGGTAGCATATGCCACGATCCCCGGAATGCCCCACAGGAAGCCCTGGAACACACCCTGTGGGGGTGCTCCCCTGGGCGGCCCCTCCATGGGCTCCTGACATAGTCGGGCTTCCTGCCAACCCAAACAGGAGGGAGATAGGACACAAAGGTCGGTCACTGCTCTGCAGCTCCTAGGGCCCAGGGACATGCAATCCCAGCGCAGTGTGGAGGCCAGAGCCTCCCTAATTGGCCGTGGGAGACCCCACGTCCCAGTCTTGCCGGAGAGACTCCTCCCAGCAGAGGTTCAGCAAACAGCTTCCCCATGCTGTCCAGCGGATGGGGACGGGAGAGGAGCCCCTGTCCTCTATTACTCTATTTCCTCCATTACTCCACAAGACCGGGAGGCAGGACGGGACAGCCAGACTCAGTGCTGACCTGTGCCGCCGCCTCTGTACAGCTCTGCTCGGGACCCAGAGCGCCGCAGAGGCACACAGGTGACGGAGTCCTTGGCGTCCACCTCACCGTCCTCCGCACGGAGCGGGCTCGGGGCCTCGGACCCTGGGAGAGGAGCTGAGAGCT